CTTTCTTAGCCGCTGGGATCAGTTGCGAGACTTTGTATGACATCTGATGGCAACACAAACATTACTAATAAAATGCAGACATAATTAAAATTATATTTAATACATAAATAGCATCCCCGAAATGTTCCTTGTTCAAATAGGCCACCACATAGGACCACTCGCCATCCACTACGGGCTCCACCTGTTTCACCCATACCTGTCGGCATACACCTGCTTCGTAGGTACAGTTTTCCTATACATTCAAACACATCATAAATTATAACAAACTTTGCAAACAAATGGACAGTTAGTTTACAGTCAACATCCTCTTAGCCATAATCCCGTGTTTGTCTTGATTGACGGCAATGAGTGCCTTATTTTGTAAAATTGCTTTAAAACTTTCTTAGCCGCTGGGATCAGTTGCGAGACTTTGTATGACATCTGATGGCAACACAAACATTACTAATAAAATGCAGACATAATTAAAATTATATTTAATACATAAATAGCATCCCCGAAATGTTCATTGTTAAAATAGGCCACCACATAGGACCACTCGCCATCCACTACGGGCTCCACCTGTTTCACCCATACCTGTCGGCATATACCCGTATGGTCGTAGATACAGTCTTCCTATACATTCAAACACGTCATAAATTATAACAAACTTTGCAAACAAATGGACAGTTAGTTTACAGTCAACATCCTCTTAGCCATAATCCCGTGCTTGTCTTGATTGACGGCAATGAGTGCCTTGTTTTGCAAAATTGCTTTAAATTCGGGCTTAATTTTGCGTAAATCTGTGGATATGTATAGAGGGGACGACCACATGGACCACATGGCCATCTGACTCCGACTTTGTTCCCAAGATAAACCCCAATTGCCAATAGTTAGCGCATCTAGGTGTGCAAAGCATTCATTTATAAATATATCCACATGGTATATTTGAACTACTATAGTAACTCACCAGGATCTGACCAGTGCCCGGGTCCTGTATAAATTATATAGTAAATGATAAGTAATGATAATTATTACTGTATAATTACTGTGCGTTTTATGACATAAAATTATTACTAATCTGTAATCAATGTCTCTAACCGTTATGTTTGATAAACAGGTCGTTATAATCGCCGTAATATTTAATAATGGACTCAATACTGGCCCACGAATCAGCCAGGTCATTATAGGTCCTGAACACGTGGCATGTCTTAGTGATAGCATCGTAATCAGGGTTTATGCTCCTCCACACGTATTGGTAGAATGGCCACTCGCATATGAATAACATTTTATGACCTAGATAACAGCGAGTATAATAAGTTAGTAATTAATAAGTTTATAAACTAGTGTGTGAATACCGGTTGCATTCAACGCCTTTCCCATTTTAGGGTAGAGTACGTCAAAGTCGCGCGGCTCCTCCCAACAACCGTCCACTTTGAATGAGTCGACCCCCCAGTCGGTTATGGTTTGGGCGTCCAAGTCGTAGAAATCTTTGCCACCTTTGGTGTGATTATTACTACCCGGGTACCTGAAAATAATTTAAAAGTTATTAACTAATTATACTTAATACAAGCTATAACATAATTATTATATATTTATACATTGATCTTAAATATACCCGAGCACTTAGAATTAATACAGTGGACACGGATGTAACTTATACATAAATATTATAGCACGCTAATAAACTATGACATACTTTTGGCAAGTTAAGTTGCCAACATCACCATAGATACCAAGTTTAAGACCTTTTGAGTGCACATAGTCCGCCACCGATTTGATACCATTGGGGAAGCGTTTCTTGTCGGCCACCAGCCTATGATTGGCATCCCTTTCCATTTCATCCCAACAGTCGTCTATATTAACGTATTCATAGCCCAACTCCTTGTACCCATCGGTCACTATCCTATCGGCCATTTCCTTAAATAACTGTTCATTAATACAACTCTTGGGATATTTAACACAATCTGTTTGACAGGCGAACCGCCCCCACGATAGCCAACCCATGGGTGGTGTGAGCGCCAGACCGTCGTCCAGTGCCCACAGGTTTGGCACACATAATAGGGTTATAAATATTTGGACAAACATTTTGGTTTTTTAACTATTATTAACTAAATAAATTAAAAGTATAATAAAAATGATTCTGGATATTAAAATACTTTTTATATGTTGTCCAATCGCTAATGTTTTAATACAACATTGAGTGTGTGATTAGTTACTAGTAATCAGTAAAACATTTAATATGTTTGTACCATATATTAGTGCATAAGATATGACCCCCTAAATCGTTATAATAGTGATAAATCGCGGAATTCTTGTTACTAAAAGTCCTTGATCAGTTTACATGTTAGGTGTTTTATGTTTACATGTCCCATCATATGTTAGGTTTACATGACATGTAAAATCCGGTAACTGTTACTTCATAGTGAATTTATATTTGGCGCTTGGCTTTTGACTACTTTCTAAATAAATGTCCATTAATTATGGTCAGTATTTAAGTTATCAAATTTTTTACTTAAATACAGTTTACAGGGTGAGACTGTATTGTGCTAATACTAGAGTAAACAAACTTGTGAACATGAGTACTGAAAATTAATATCTTATCATTTCTAAGTAATCATTTTGAATCTTAAGGATTAGTTGTCTTTCAGTGCTGATGTTCACAAGTTTGTTTACTTTAAGTATTAGCACAATACAGTCTCACCCGGTGCACTGTATTTAGACAAGAATTTGATAACTTAAGATACTGGCCATAATTAATGGACATTGAAT